CTGACTAGGGACGATGTTGGGGGCCTCATCTTGGGCAATCTTGAAGCGTCGGGGCCCGAAAAGGCGAGGCCGCTACACTTTTTCAAAGACAGACCGGGAATCAGTGATTGTGGCGAATTGGCGCCCTCTTGGGGCTGCTCTTGGGGCTGCTCCTGGGGCTGCTTTTGGCGTCTCGGGGGCCTCTTGGGCCGTCTTCAGGCCATTGTGGTGGCCGTGGAGCGAGCTTTGGGCGATTCGGAGCCATCGTCGACGGTCCTGCGGGTTTCTTTGGGCCCTATTGGCCTGTTTTGAGGCTCTCTTCTTTCCAAACAGTCACGCGAGAACGCGCGTCAACGCGCGACCAAGCCCCAGCAGCTCGTGACAGCGCCCAGTACTCGGGGCCGTGGGCCTCTTAAACATAGTCAATATTCACTATATGGGGACTCTTGGGGACCTGAGAACACTCTACCTTGTGCCTCGGAGGACGGAGGCGGCTACTGATGATGCTGAGGTTGATGCTGACGGTACTGACGGTAATCATGCTGCTGATGATGATGACGACGACGACGATGGCGATGACCATGACGATGACGGTGATTACGAGGATGATGATGATGCTGACTTGGATGCTGATGCAAGTGCGGCTGATGCTGATGCGGTTGATGATGCCGACAATGTTGCTTCTGCTGCTGATGATATTGATCAGGAGGGCGATATGACTGATAATGATGATGATGATGATGATGATGATGATGATGATGATGATGATGATGATGATGATGATGATGATTATGATGATGATGATGATGATGATGATGATGATGATGATGATGATGATGATGATGCTGATGATGATGATGATGATGATGATGATGATGATGCTGATGCTGATGATGATGATGATGATGATGATGGTGGTGGTGGTGGTGGTGGTGGTGGTGGTGGTGATGATGATGATGATGATGATGATGATGATGATGATGATGATGATGATGATGATGGTGATGATGATGATGCTGATGATGATGATGATGATGATGACGCGGCTGCTGAGACTGGTGACGGTGCTGACGATGTTGATGATTTTTTTGACGGTGATAATGATGTGACTGCTGATGATGATGCACATTATGCTGCTGGCGAGGAAGCTGATCCGAATGATTTGTTGATCATGTGTTGCTACCAATGAGTCTGATGCAGATGAGGATGCTGATGCTTAGGGGACATCTGAAGGGGACGGTGGTGAGCATGCGGATGGTGATCACGATGCCGCTGATGATGATGACGATGATGATGCTGCTGCTGATGATGCTGATAGTGATGATTGTGGTGATGATGCTGCTGATAATGATGATGAGATGATGATGATGATGCTGCTGATGATGATGAAGATGCTGCTGATGATGATGACGATGCTGATGATGATGATGATGATGATGATGATGATGATGCTGATGTTGATGATGATGACGCTGCTGCTGAGGATGATTCGGATGATGATGATGATGAGGATGATTATGCGGATGACGATGATACCGATTCGTATGATCCTGATTATGATGATGATTATGATCCTGCTGATGATGGTGCCCAGTCTGTTGATGACTATGGGGCTGCTGATACTCTTGCTGCTGATGTCGATGCTGATGCTGATGATGATGTTTACAATGAGGATGCCGGTGACGTTGATGACGCTGATGCAGATGGTGACAATCGTGATTCTGCTGATTTCGCTGTTGCTGATAATGACGCCGATGGTACTGCTGCTGGTGATAATGCTCTACGGATAGTATTACTGATGCTGACGGGGATGCTGATGCTGCTGACGATGCAGCTGATGTTGCTGGTGATGTTGCTGATGGTGGTGATGATATTGATACTTCTTATTCTGCTGATGACGATGCTGGTGTTGATGACGGTGCAGCTGATGCTGCTTTTTAGGCTGATGCTTGTGATGTTGGTGACGCTGATGGTAATGATGCTGATGGCCACGCTGTCGATTCTGCTATTGATGATAAATCTTATGATGATGGGTATAACATGGTGCGCACGCTGGTGATTGTGATGATTATGTCGATGATGATGCTGATGCTGATGCTGATAATGCTATGCGGTTACTGGCTCGGCTGCTGATGCTGCTGATGATGCTGATGCTGATGCTGCTGATGATGATGATGATCAGGATTAGAGAGATGCTGAGGAGGCTAGTGATGGTGATCCCAACACTGAGTAGGCTGACGACCTTTATGATGATGCTGATACTGTTCATGGCGAGGCTGATATCGACGATGCTGCTGGTGACGACGATGTTGTTGATGATGACGCTGATGATGCTTCTGCTGCTGTCGCTGATGAGGATTACGGAGCGAAGATGATGCTGATGATGTTCAATATGATCTTGAGGATGCTGACCAGCATGCTGATGTGGATCATGCTGATGGCGGTAATGGTAATGCTGATGATGCTCACGCAGAGGAGTTCGATGGAGGATGGAAAGGGGAGTTTGGGAAAGGCTGGAAGGTGAGGGGAGAGGGGAAGGGATGTGGAGGGCGAACGGAGGCGATGATGATGCTGCTGCTGATGCTGCCGATGCTGCTTATGATGATGATTTAAGATGGTCATGCTGATGCTGCTGATGATGCTGATGACGGTGATGCTGCTACTGATGATTCTGATGATGCTCATGACGAGGGTGATGCTTCTGATGCTGATGATGTTGATGATGCTGATGATTATGCCGATGACGACGATACCCACTGCCTGCTCGTCCTCGTCCTCCGCTTGATTAAGCTGCCCAGGCCAAGGTTTCGCTTGCGGGCTCGCCTAATGCAGGTTGGTCTTCTCGTTGCTCCGGGTTCGCTTGGTACATTTCTTGGACACCATCGTTCGTTTGGGAGTGCGACCTCGGGAAACATGAAGCAATGAAGCTGCTGATGACGATCACGCTGATGAATCTGACACTGTTGATGTTGATGATGCTGATGAAGCGCATGATGCTGGTGATGATGCTGACGATGATGCAGATATTGACTATGCTGACGATGGCGATGATGCTAAGGATTACCGTGATTATGCCGATGAATATGATGCTGTGGAAGATGTAGATGATGCTGTGGATGAGAATGGTGCGGATGCTGATGATGCTGGCGATGATACTGACGACGACGACGACGTGGACGACGATGACGATGATGATGATGACGATGGTGAAGATGCTGCGCTGCTGATGATGACGATCATGGTGATGATGATGATGACGATGACGATGACGATGATAATCCTTATTATGATTATGACGACGATGATGATGAGGATGATGATGGTGATGATGATGATGGTTGTGATGCTGATGATGCTGCTGATGATGGCGAGGATGATGAGCTGCTGATGATGATGCGGATGATGGTGAAGTGATGACGATGCCGCTATTTGTGGTGATGACGAGCATGCTGATGATGAGGTACGTGCTGAAGATGTTAATGCTGCTGGTGATGCGGCTGCTGATGGTGATGTCGCTGATGGTGATGCTGCTGCAGACGTTGTGGACGATGATGTTGATGCTGATGCGGCTGCTGATTATGCTGATGATGATGCTGATGGTGTTGGCGATGAGGTTGGCGCTGATCCAGATGACAATGCAGATGGTGCTGCTGCTCATGACTCTGCTGATTGTGATGCTGATGAGGATGTTGCCGATGTTGCTACTGCTGCTGATGACGATGATACTGATGCTGATGATGTAGATGATGATGCTGATGATGCTGCTGCTGATGATGATGATGATGACGGTGATGATGCTGATGCTGATGATGGTGATGAGGATGATGATGCTGATGATGACGATGATGCTGATGCTGATGATGCAAATGACGATGATGATGATAATGATTATGATGCTGATGATGATGATGATGATTATACTGATTATGATTATGATTATGATGCTGCTGATGATGATGCTGCTGATGATGAAGACGATGATGATGCTAATGCTGGTGCTGGTGCTGATGCTGATGCTGATGCTGATGCTGATGCTGATGCTGATGCTGCGGATGATAATGATGATTATGATTCTCATTATTATCATTATTACTACTATTGCTATTAGTATTTTTATTAGTATGAATATTATTAGTATTTGTATCATTAATTATATTATGTTTAATGTATTATTATTTATATATTATGATTATCATTATCAGTATCATTATCACTATCATTATCATTATCATTATCATGATGATTAGCATTATCACTATTTTTATCATTAGCATTCGCATTATCATTATTATCCTTATCATTTTTAAATACTTTTACGTCTTTATTTTTTTGTTCATTTATTCATTGTTATCAGAAGTCTTACAACTAATGTGATTCTGATGTTGAGGAGGAAGAGGATGTAGATCTGGAGGGGTGGAACGATGGTGAGGAGAAAGAGGAGGATGAAGAGGAGGAGGAAGAAGTGGAGGATGAGGACGAGGAGGAGGAGGAGGAGGAGGAGGAGGAGGAGGAGGAGGAGGAGGAGGAGGAAGAGGACGAGGAGGCTACCTCCGCGACCCCCTTCCCTTTTCATTTTCTTTTCTTTTCGCCTCCTCTCTCCTCTCCCTTTCCCTCTCCCTTTCCCTCTCCTTCACCCCTTGTCCTCACGCCCTCCCGCTTTCTGCTCATCCTCTTTCTGCCCCCCCTTGCCCACTCTACCCCCTCCCCTCCTCCGCCTCCCCCTTGCCCAGTGCCCCTTCCTCTTCCTGCCTCTCCCTCTCTCTTCCCGCTCTCTCGTCTCCCCTGCTTCCCCCCCCTCACCGTTCCCCTCTCTCTCCCTCCCTCTCTTCTCCCCCTCCTCCCTCCTTCCTCCTCCTCCCTCTTCTCCTCCTTCTCCTTCTCCTCCTCCTCCTTCTCCCCGCTCTTTCTCTGTATCTCCTCTCGCTCCAGCGAGCGCGCCGGCGCGCTGTCGCCGTCGCGGAGCGTCCGCGGCCCCTCCTCGCTGGCGCGCTGTCGCTGAGCCCCCGCCGCGCGGGCCGAAGGCGCCCCGCGCCGGGGAGGGCGAGACGTTGAGCAGCCAGGAGCAGCTGTTGCAGATGCTGCGCCGCTCGCGGCTCTGCGAGGAGCGACCGCCGTTCTCTTCGTCGTTCTCGCTCCTTGCTCCTCGTTCCTGCTCGTTCCTTCTTCCTCCTCTTCCTCTTCTCCTCCTTCCTCCTCCCTCCCTCCCTCTCTCCCTCGTCGTCGTCGTCGTCGTCGTCGTCCTTCTCCTCCTCCTCCTATCTCCTCCTATCTTCTCGTCGAATGTCTGTTCGAATTATAAAGGGCCGTTATGATAATTTAGTCGATCAAATTTCAGAAGTATGCTCTGGTTTATGGAAATGGTCATTCGAGTCGGGACGTACACGATGGAGTTTCGGAAGACTCATCATCACAATTGATACGTTTGGATTTCTCGAGTATTTTGAAACATTACAGGGAGCATGGCCCACAGAAAACGTATTTGATGTAACCATCTTCTGTGATATTATCAACGGGCGAGACAGCATAATATGTCTACGTGATGCCAAAATATAACTAAATCGGGTTTGTTCACCGTCATTATGTTGAAGATAGCAAGAAGAGCCCGAGCCAACTCCAAGAGGGCGAAACTCCAACGGCAGGAGGAACTAAGAGACCTGCGACAGGAGTACAGCGTCCCCGCGTCAACGTCTACCTCGCTGACCACACGGTCCAGGAGACGGTCCAGGAGACAGCCCAGGATACAGCCGAGGAGACAGCTAAGGAGATCCCCGAGGAGAACAAGCCATTCCTCCCGAGGCCGAAGTACGTCGGGACCGTCGGTGTCTACTTCCTGTTCCCCGATGACAACAACAACGTCAACGTCCCGGTCCATCGTCGGAACTCCAGGGTGGGTTACTCGAATGCGGTCGCCACTCCAGGAGGATATGTTGATCGCGCAGATCTGAACGTTGCTCACAAGCGAGACCTGGACTCCGATTGCGCTGCCAGTTACGCGGCAAGTCGGGAACTTAGCGAAGAAGCTGGACTGCACACCAATGTGGACGACCTGGTGGAGATCCCTAACGACATGCCCAATATCCCACCTCGCAAGAACTTCGGGTAGGTCGACTTGGTACCAACCGATGTTCAGGGGCCGCAGTATCGCTCTCGTAAAGAAGTGGTGTATCAGGGTGTTCAGAATTTGGGATTTCCTGCTGGAGATCAATACCGCGCCTGGGTCACCGTGGACGTCCTCATAGTTCTGCCAGACCTGCTGCCAGCATGCCAACAGCCATTGGACTACATCATGAAGGTGGAGAAGGGGAGGATCTTGCAGATGAAGAAAGGCATGGTGCAGCAGGCGGAAGGTGACGAAGGACGAGCCATCCGAACTCGAGAGGAACGGACGCTGGTCTACCGACGATGTACTCTACTACCTGGTACTGACGAGCCGTGCTTAGCCGCTCGCTCAGAACTCGAGTTTCAGCGCGACCTTTAACGACCCCGCGTCGGAGATGATGGTCGTGCACCAGTGCCCGAGACAGCCTGCTTCCCGTGTTTGTTTGAAGCTGCTGACGCACATGCCATTCGGCATCGCTCAGTGTCTGGTCGAGTCGTGCAACGCGCTCGAGTGCGAAATCGTGCAGGACGACCTGAAGACCAGAAACGAGAGTGGGGACTGCGACGCCCTCTACGCATACTTCGAGGTGTGCGCGGACACCGAGCTCAATGATCCCTCCGATCCTCGCCCGGTGTCAGAGTTCGTCGCGACGCCATTCAGAGACCTGCCTCGCTGGGTACCTGCAGCGCTAGCCATCGTCGCCAGCATGAACTACAAAGTCCATCGGAAGATCGGTGGAAACCTCAGGCATCGCCCCCGGGAAGAGCAGCTGATGATGGTCGACAGTTGGAGGAGATGGTGACAGTAGGTGAGAAGGCCATCGAGGACATCACGGACCAGATCAGCATCCTCGGTTCGGCAGACGGAGGAGAAGAAATGGCGCGCAGACTGGAGAACCTCAGCGAGTTGCGCGGTGCAGTGGGCACCCTCAAAGACATAGTCGAGAATCCTCCACCAATGAGCGGATCCGTCTCCGAGGCCACGAAGGCCGTGGTGACTGCTGATCACTGCGCCGCTGCTCCAGGATTGGGGGGGCCTCCAGCAGAGCAGGGTGCGATAATATACTCCTTGGACGAAGAAAATGCACCAGTGCCCACTCGGAGGCCTACATGCTGTCCAGGAAGAACAACAGGGTTTTCAACGACATGATGAGCGACCACCGACTGAGGTCACAAGGCCGAGGTGACCAGAGACCACTTAGTCGACACTTATGGGGGCTCAATTTGGGATTGAGGTGCAGCTTCACTCGTGAACATCTTTCAGGAAGCATCGGCGGTCCTCGCGTCCAGGGGCACATTGCGTATCCAACCGGGCAGTGAGTGGTGGATGATGGTTTTGCGCCGATATGCGTTGAGGAGGTGCATCGTGACGAGGAGCTCAACAAGAACGGGGCCCATATCGAGACTGTTTGTCACGGCGCCAACTTGGCAGCATTGTGATCCATTTGGAGCAAGAAGGGGCTGTTTGAGCTGAAGCCAGGACCTCCGAGCTACGAGAACGTCCACGGCATTTTCTGCGAAAGGACGTCTCGCCGTACCTCTTGCGCTCGCTGCGTGGTGCATGCGTCGTCTGATGTCAGCCCGGAGATGAACCTGTACTCGCGCATCTTCGAGCTGCAGATGGATCGCCACCGTCGCGCGCGCTTTCCCAATCAGCATGTCCACAAGCAGTGGTGCCAGTCCGAGAGCAGTGTCTACGTCGAGACGCTCTGGGTCCACACTGCGACGATGAGGGAGATCTGGAACAAGGTACGGGCGAAGGAGCAAGTGTTTGGATTGTAGAGGGTCTGGAATCAGACGGACAGGATGTACTTCGAGGCAATGGCCATCCCGACAGCGTTTCCTAGTGTACACGTGTACCCAGATGATGCGATCGGGGACTCCGACTTCCCTGTTATCGAGGTCAAGCTGGTTCCCAAGGACGAGAGGTGGTTTCCTCAGTGGGCTAGGGGTCTCAGTGCGGCAGATCGGTTCTTGGAGTGCACTGGCAAACTATACGACCATCATGGAACCGAACCACAGCGTTTCATGGATCAGATGGGGCAGGGCACGGACGCAGCAACATCGGATGTACTCATTGTCACCGTGGACTTAGAGTCAGACAATCCTTTGCAAGGATCTGTCTTAGAGACGCTCTCGAGTCCTACGTGTTCGTGAAGGTGTACCAGCTGCACATCACTGAGGCTCTGGTAGGACGTGGAATGGCTACGGTATCTACTGAGGGAGCAATTTCATCATCTCAGGCGAGGCGGCGTTTCGGCTGCAAGAGAAGTAGGAGCTGTGATTGCTGAGCCCCTGTCAGCCTCTCCTCCTCTTGCGCTTCTCTCTCTCTTCTCCCTTGTGCGCCGCCATATCTGCTCGTAAGGGCCCTTGAGCTATCTTGGCGCGCAGGTGACGGCCGCGCCCACGCCTCCGTAAAAGGAAAAGAGACCGTGCTCTCTTCTAGCACGGGTCCGTTTATTTGTACCTCTTGTCTCTCTGTATCCATACAGTCACACCCGTGCAATCCACACCCTCCTCCTCCTGCTCCTCCTCTTCCTCCTCCTCCTCCTCCTCCTCCTCCTCCGACGACGACGACGGCGACGACGACGGCCCCCCCTCGGCCAGGAGTCGCGGCGCCAGCAGGACAGGCAACACGCCTTTTGGGACACGCAGCCAGTGCCCTCCATGAGCTCCGAGTACTCTTCGGACGCCCCCCCTCCCGCACAGGCCTGCGGCTCTTGCCCTCCCCCTTCCAGGAATTGTGTGTTTCTCTTTTTTCTGTTCCAATTCGCCGGCCCCCCCCTTTCCCTACCCCTCTCCCTTTTGCCCCCGTCCTGCGGTTCCCCTTCCCCTCCCCTCCATCCCTCTTCTCTTTTACCTCCCCGCGGATCTGGTTCCCTCCTCCCCCTTTTGTTTTCCTTTTCCCCTCAAGAGGTGGGGTCCCATTCCCCCCTCCCGCCCTCACTGTTTCTCCCCTCCCCCTTCCCCCTCTTACCTGTCCTCTTTCCTCGCCCCCCTGCCCTCCCCCCTCTACCCCTCCCTCTCCCTCCCTCCCACCTGTGCAGTTGCTCGACATGAACACTGCACTCCGTTCTCCCCTGGCCCTGTGCGACGAGTGTCCTGCTCACCCCGGGTATTGCGAAGGCCTGACGGCCGGTGCCGCCGACCCTGTTCGCAATGCGCAGCAAGAGGCACGGGCTGTGGGATGGTTTTGGGGAACGGGGAGAAGGACGAAAAGGTGGGGGAGGGAGGTGTCGTATCTGACCCGGGACTTCCCCGGGACTCCCCCGGGACCCCCCCCGGGACCCCCTCTCCCTCCCCCGGCGGGGAAGGGAAAGGGAAGGGGCTTCCCTTCGACTCAATTACGACGTTGCTCAAGGTCGGTACGGGGGGGGGCGTCGTATCTGACCTGGGGGGGGGGTCGCTACCGCCCCCCGCTACCCCCCCCTCGCCTCCCGGCGGGGGAGGGATCAAAGGGAAGGGGCTTCCCTTCGACTCAATTACGAGGTTGCTCAAGGTCGGCTTGGCTGGAGCCCAGGGGAAGAGGAGTCCCAGGGGGGGGCGTCGTATCTGACCCGGGGGGGGGGTCGCTACCCCCCCCCCCCCTCCCGGCGGGGGAGGGATCAAAGGGAAGGGGCTTCCCTTCGACTCAATTACGAGGTTGCTCAAGGTCGGCTTGGCTGGAGCCCAGGGGAAGAGGAGTCCCAGGGGGGGGCGTCGTATCTGACCCGGGGGGGGGGTCGACCCCCCCCCCCCCCCCACCCCCCCCCCCTCCCGGCGGGGGAGGGATCAAAGGGAAGGGGCTTCCCTTCGACTCAATTACGAGCTCTCAGTCCCAGGGGGGGGCGTCGTATCTGACCCGGGGGGGGTCTACCCCCCCCCCCCTCCCGGCGGGGGAGGGATCAAAGGGAAGGGGCTTCCCTTCGACTCAATACGAGGTTGCTCAAGGTCGGCTTGGCTGGAGCCCAGGGGAAGAGGAGTCCCAGGGGGGGGCGTCGTATCTGACCCGGGGGGGGGGTCGCTACCCCCCCCCCCCCCCCGGGGGAGGGATCAAAGGGAAGGGGCTTCCCTTCGACTCAATTACGAGGTTGCTCAAGGTCGGCTTGGCTGGAGCCCAGGGGAAGAGGTCTCCCAGGGAAAGGGAAGGACAGAGACGACGAGTACAAAGAATGACGGAGATGACGGCTCGAACGGAAAAGCCCCTCACACACGCCGACAGGGTCGGCGGATTTTTTGCTCGAAAGATTTCAGCATTCACCCTGCCGTATAGGATGCGCTTATGTGGCCAAGCGTTTGGGAATGGTGTGGCCACGCCGTTGGACCCTGCGTTTCCCCAGTCGCTCTGGAAACTCTTCGGGGAACAGTTGGGGGAGGATGCGGGGGTGGATCACGAGATGGAGGTGGAGGAGGAGGAGGAAAAGGAGGAAAAGGAGGAAAAGGATGATGATGATGATGATGATGATGATGATGATGATGATGATGATGATGATGATGATGATGATGATGATGATGATGATGATGAATGACGAAGTGGAGGAGGAGGAGGACCAGGAGGAGGAGGAGGAGGTCTAGGAATATGATGATGATGCTGATGATGATGATGGTGATGATGATTATGATGCTGATAACGATGACTACGATTATGACGATACTGATGATGATGGTGATGGTGATGGTGATGATGATGAGGATGGTGCTGCTGCTGATGCGGATGATGCTGCTGCTGATGATGATGCTGATGCTGCTGATGATGATGATGCTGATGATGACGCTGCTGCTGATGATGACGCTGATGATGATTTTTTTGATGATGATGATGCTGATGATGATGATGATGATGATGATGATGATGATGATGATGGTGGTGGTGGTGGTGGTGGTGGTTGTGGTGGTGGTGGTGGTGGTGGTGATGATGATGATGATGATGATGATGATGATGATGATGGTGATGCTGATGGTGGTGGTGGTGGTGATCATGCTGCTGCTGCTTCTGCTGCTGATGATGATGATGATGATGATGACGATGATGATGATGATGATGATGATGATGATGATGATGATGATGATGATGATGATGATGATGATGATGATCATGATGAGGAGGAGGAGGAGGAGGAGGAAGAGGAGGAGGAGGAGGAGGAGGAGGACGAGGAGAAGGAGGAGGAGGACGAGGAGAAGGAGGAGGCCTCTGGGAAGGCTCTTGGGTCGCTCTTGAGGCCTCCTGGGAGCTTCCTGGGGGCTTGTTTGAGGCCTCTTGGGGCCCGGGGCCCTCCTTTGGCCTCTTGGGGGAGCCTGTGGGGACTTCTTGGAGGCCGCTTTGGCCGTCTTGGGGCGTTCCTTGCCCGTCTGACGCCGTCGGAAGCTGTCTCGGGGGCTTCTCTGGCCCGTCTTGGGGCCCTCTTGCAGAGCTTGAAGAGCCGTTTTGGAGGTCGTCTGGGGCGTTCCGAGGCCTCTTGGGCTGTCGTGGGTCCCGCTGGTGGCCGTCTTGAGGACCTCTTGGGCGATCCTCGGGCCATCTTGGAGGCCTCTTGGGCGATCTTGGGGCAAACTTGGTGGCCTCTTGGGCCGTCGGGAAGCCGTTTTGGAGTAAATGCCAAACTCTTTCGAAACCTAAGGCAAATCGTTGATTCTGACCTGAGCGCCCAGGAGCGCTGGGGAGCGCTCGGAACTCCAGGCTGCGGGCCCCCTCAAAGATATTTGCAGAACTCAATGCAGAGAACCGAGCCTCATGGCACGGTGACGGAGTGCTTCAATCGGAGCGCTTCGGTGTCTCAAAATGGTGCTCCCGCTGCAGCATTGGCATAATTTCATGATCGGCGCTTTGCCGCCAGAAAGTGCCCCTCGCCCCAGCGCGGGCCACTTTTCTGGATCCGACTGCTTCCTCATCGTGGTCGCCCCGCTCTTTTCCCCTCTGCCAGCTTTTCCTGGTCATCCTGCTCCTCCCGCTTCTCCCTTTCCTGCTCCTTCTGCTGTTCTTCCTCCTCGTCCTCCTTCCTCATCCTCCTCTTGCTCCTGCTTATCCTCCTGCTCACCTGCCACATCCTCCAATTTACGCGGCTCCCCTTTTTTGTGATTGTGCATGGCACGATAGGGGTTCTTTTGGAGATTCCAGGTCTGCTACGACACCCATCGGAGAATAGAACACAAACAGCGCGATGGGAAGGGATGGGCGGGAGGGGTAGGATGTCAGATATATGGCGCGAGCGCACCTAGCTTGCCCCTTTCCTCCTCTACCCCTCCCCCTCCCTCTCCGTCTACCCCCCCCCCCCCTTGCACTTCCAGCGCGCCCACTCTGGTAACAGGAGGGGAGGGAGAGGAGGGAGCACATGGGGACTGGGATTGAGAGGGGACGAGTGGGGAGGCCGAAGGAGGAGGGAGAAGGGAGCTTGGGGAAGGCTGGAAGGGGAGGGTGGGGCAGGGAGGACGGGAGGAAGACGAGGAGGAGGAGGAGGAGGAGGAGGAGGAGGAGGAGGAGGAGGAAACACGAGGCGATCATGCTGATGCTGTTGCTGTTGCTGTTGATGATGGTGATGGTGCTGGTGATGGTGATGGTGATGGTGATGGCGAAGGTGATGACGATGATGATGCTGATGCGGATTATGATGCTGCTGCTGATGAGGTTGATGATGCTGAGTATGATGTTGAACATGGCGATTTTGCTAATCATGCTGATGCTGTTGCAGACGATACTTCTGACGATGCTGGCGATGATGATGTCGCTGATGGCGTTGTCGATGATGATGATGCTGATGCTGGTGATGCTGGTGATGCTGATGATGATGCTGATGCTGATTTTGATTTTTAAGCTGATTCTGACGATGATGGTGATGATGGCAAGGATGTCGAGGATGCTTTTGGTGGTAGTGGTGCTGATGATGGCGATGCTGATGATGCTGCTGCTGATGATGATGATGATGCTGGTGGTGATGGCGATGACGATCATGCTGACGCTGATACTTACGTTGAGGGTGGCAGGGATGGTTGTGTGTGGTGATGATAACGATGACGATGAAGGCGACGATGGTGATGACGATGGTGACCTTGCTGATGATGACGATTGTGTTTTTGCTGCTGCTGAGGACGATGATGCTGATGGTGGTGGTGATGATGATTCTGGCGGTGATGGTGATGGATGATGGTGGCGATGAGATGATGGTGGTTATGATGGTGGTGGCGGTGATGATGATGGTGAATCGGATCCTCATGTCGAGGATTATGGCCAGGGGGAAGAGGAGTGTCAGGGGGTGGATAACGAGGAGGAGGATGCTGATGATGATGATGATGAGGAGGAGGAGGAGGAGGAGGAGGAGGACGAGGATGAAAAGGATGAGGACCAGTGTAATCAGAAGACGCATCAACGATGTTGCAATGATCCCTCCCTCCACGTTGCAACTCCATAAGTTCCTGATATGATTTACTTTCACTGCGAGAAGCTGCCCCTCAGAAGACATCCGTCTGAGAGTCCTCACTCGCGCCAAAGCACCGTTCTTTGGACTTAAACGCCGCAAATCAAGCTGTCTGTTGCGTCCTGGCAGTCCTAAATCTTACCAGAATGTCAATACCGCGAATCAACGTTGATGATGCGTCCTGGTAATCCTAAATCGGGCCGGAACACCATTCGTGGGACTTCGACCAAACGAATCGTTGAATTTTCTGAGGACTTTCAAAAGACGAGAGCCGCATTTAGAAAATGTGCCGCCCTCCATCCTTGAAACCGTTTCTAACTTTCATGACGAATGTGTGCGGCGTGAAGGCGAGAGCCACATTTTGAAAACCACCCGCCCTCCATCATCGAAACTGCTTCAAACTTTTAAGACGAACGTGCGCGACGCTAGGGTGAGAGTCACATGTTGAAAGCCACCTGCCCTCCATCCTTGGAGCTGTTGCATACTTTCAAGACGAATGTGGGCGGCGCTAAGGCGAGGGCCACATGATGAAAAATAGCTGCTCCTCCATCCCTGACACTGTTGCAAATTTCAATCTTCAGGATCATAAGCGACGAGGAGTTCTCAGGCGAAACGCCCGGTCCGCTCTGCTGACGCGTCTGTGGGTGCGACGGGAAGGACTTATTCATAGGGGAAAAGCGAAGAAGCCGGAAGAGGAGGAGCAGAAGGAGGAGGAGGAGGAGGAGCAGGGTCAGGGAGGAGGGGGAGAAAAAGGAGGAGGAGGACGAGCAGGGGGAGGAGGAGGAGGATGAGGACTAGGATGAGGACCAGGAGGATGGGAAGGAGAAGAAGGAGGGGGAGGAGGATGAGGTGGAGGCGAAGGAGAAGTCGGAGGAGGATGCGGAGGAGGATGAGGAGGAGGATGAGGATGAGGATGATCATGATGAGGAGGAGGATGGGGAGGAGGAGGGGGATTGACATGGTGCCGTTGTCGCCTGGGCTCACTGGGCAGGAGGCTGGTCCCATCGACGAGCTGAAGAAGCCCGACGACGTCCCCAGAGCCCTGCGGCCTGCAGTCGATGCCGTTGCAGGAGGATAGTGAGGAGGAGGAGGAGGAGGAGGAGGAGGAGGAGGAGGAGGAGGACCAGAGTAAGCCCAAGGCTCATCAACGATGTTGCAATACATCCTCCCTCCAAAGTCCCTCTTCATAGGTCCCTGCACGAGTTCATTTTCACTGAGGGAAGTGCCTCTGTGGAAAACGATCGTCTGAGCATCCTGAACCGTGCCAGAACACGATCCCAAGAGGAGGAGGAGGCGGAGGAGGAGGAGGATGAGGATGAGGAGGAGGAGGAGGATTGATGATGATGAGGAGGATTGTTCCAAGAAGCGCTAACATGGATTGATGCATGTGAATCTGCGACGGGTCCCGTTTCCGTCCTTCATCTTCGCGCTCCGTCGCCAAATAGGGCCACTTTGGCCTCGTGTTCTGCAAGATGCACTGGGCTGTAATCCATGCGCACGATTTGAGGAGGGACTTCCTCCTCCCGCCACCGCC